TGATTTCTTGCTTTCATATATATATATATATATATAAGTTAGAACCTAGAAGAGTATAAAAGTCAAATGGGAGGATCGAGAAAAAAGAGTTTTAAAAATACAAGTCGTGAAAGCCTACAAAATTTCTGTAATTGAGTTCAAATGTGGCTTCCAACTTCCTGGCAGCTTGAGGAAGAGGGGAGAGATCATATCCTTGCACAGCACATTTTGTACTTCGCCAAATGTTTGTTGAGTCCTCGCTCATAGCAGGCACTTCTGTAAGTATGGGTTTTAGAGCTAAGAGGAAGAACAGAGAGAACCTCGTGCTTCATTGGAGCAGTTCTCAAACTTGTGTGCAGAGAATCACTGAGGGGTTTGTAAGAGGTAGGTTTCAAGCCTGTCTTCTAAAATTCTGGTTACTGATCTGGAGCTGTGGGAATTTGTGTTGTGACAAGCCACTCAGGCAGTGCTGCTGGTGACCTTTAGACCACACCCAGAAGTGACCTCACCTCATACTGACATCTTTCCTGGGGGCAAGGCCCACTTATCTACAGAAAAGAATGCTAGATCTGCTTTACAATTCTAGAGCTGATCTGAGTTGTTTTGTACTTACAAAGTCTCCAGTATGATACCAGGAGTGACCCTAGGAGGTCTGGACAGTGGTACAGCAGTAAAACTGGACATTCACGGTGAACCCACATGGGAAGGTTCCCAGTGCATGTCTGGAGGCTCCTGAGCACACTAGCTGAGGCTGTGGGTTGGTCATAGTGTCGAGATCCCTTTGGGGTCACTGTCTCTCTACCTTTCTCAGTCTCTCTGTCTCTCTTATTCACTGAGGAAATAAATAACTAACCAAACAAACTTAGAGATAAAGTGACCTTAGACAGCCATTAGCAAATGACAGTAATGCTCCAGTGAACTAGCTGGTTTTAAACAACACTAGGTCTTCCTGTAAATCTTCCTGTAAAACACTAGTTTCAAAATATTCTCCTAAGCAGTTATATCTAGTTAGATTATTAGATATGAACTCATTATGTTTCGGAGGGCCCATGCACAGAAAATTGTTTTAGTTTTGTAATTTAGGAATAACAAAGTAGCCGTTAAGACCATTTTCCTCACATCAGAAAACAGACGGGTTTTCAGGAGCCACTCCCGGCCTGTGGGGTCACTCAGACCTCATCATCAGCTCATTAGAGGACTTACTCACTTATGTTTCTCTCTGTGATGAAGGGACATGCATTCAGATCTTGTAAGAGTTCACACCATCTGAGAAAGTGAAAAGAGAGACAGAGAGAAGCCAAAACACAGTTCTAATTACCCTCAGTTATTTAATCTGCCAGGTAATTCCTGCCAACTCAGACTTTCTCAGAGAAATATTGCAAATACAGGTTTTGAATGAAGATCAGTAATACTTATTGGACTCATTCAGTTTAGCTCCCAAATAGGTTTTATTTTACACAGTGTTTAATGAAGACTGCAAGCAAGCAACCTTGCATAGTTTTACCCACAAGATGGTAAACTCCAACAGTGTTCATGACCAGCTTGCTGAGGGCCCCTGACCCACATGTAAAATGTGGTTCCAGGAAACACAACTGCCGCTTATTAAGAAAGGAGAAGCTATAAACTTTAGATACGGTTTCTCAGTCCTAGAAAAATCAAACCAACAGATAGGTCTTCCACTTTCTTAGAAGCACAGACTTGTCAGTTTCTTAGAAGTACAGACTGGTCTTATCCTTTCAGAAAATAGAATAGACCCTCTTGGAGTCCATGCTGATAGGATCACATCTTAGAAGTTCCACAGTAGGCCGGCAGGCTGCTGAGATCAGGAGCCATAGGCTGAACTGGTTAGACAGGAAGAATGGCAGAAGACCTCTGCCTGGTGCTTTATTTAATTCAAGCTTAATAATACAAAGAGAGCTCTATGAGTGGCTCCTTATCACCAGGTCTAGTCCTGAGAGGGGTTACCCTGGATCATAGAGCTGGAAAAAACTTAACTCAGCATCGGTGTCACTCTGTTAAAGTAGGTCTGAATGCTGGGGTGGCTACAGAGCAGCCACAGGGGATGCTAGAAGTAGTAAGATAAAATTCGCATAGAGGGTTTCAGAAAGAGGGGCAAGGTGCACTAGGAAAGTCATAGGACCACTTTTTCTTCTTTTTTTAATTGCTAGGAGGCACATGTACTTGACAGGGAGCGATGAGGGTTGGCGAGGGGGCAGAGGGGTGGGGCAAGCAGCATGATCATGCCACAATCCTTTCTCCATTTCTCCATCCTGTCAAGATTTGGGGTATGCTTGCATAGCCTCTGGCATTCTTCAAGTCACCAGGACCAGGATTCAAACCATGCTTGGCCATATGGGATCCAGTTCCCTTACCTACTAGGCCATGGTGCAAGCCCAATACAGAGCCACTTTTACAGCAATCATTCCTTCACCCTAAAAAGCAGCTGCTGTATTGACATTTACTGATTCTTATATTTGAATAGTGCTGAATATAAGCAGACTTCAAAATGTTTGTGGAAATATAGAATTAAAGTGTAACTATTTTGTGCAAATATTTTGAACACAAAATTTTGAAATCCATGCATTGTGTTTTCTTAATGTGCATTTTCCATGAACTGTTTGAAGACCTCATATTTTGTCAAAGGACTTTCTATCTTTTCAGTCTTATAATAACACCTTCAGTCTTATAATAATCCTGTGTAAGAAAGAGGTCAGACACCAATTTTGGATGAGAATATTGAAGTACCATTGTCAAAGATCCCAGCTGGTAACTCTGGTCTCTCAAACCTTCCATCAGTCACCAGAGAGCTGCTCAATACCTTTGTGTGTCCAGAGCTGTACAAGGTACTGGGGGTGCAAAAATGAACATTGACTGACACATGCCCCCCCCCACCGTGCCCAGTGATATTTTTTATTTCTTATTCACCTGGGCCCCAGGCTGCCCCTGCTCTCATATACTTCCTGGTTTCGCTCCCCCAGGGTGACCGATAGTGGGTAGAGCTCCAAATCTGGGTCATAGTTGGTGAGCTTGGGAACTGGGGGAGCAGACCGGACCCCTCAGGATAGGGAGGCTGCTTTACCTTGGCATAGAAATGTCCAATCATGTGTCTACGTGTCTTTTGTTCTGGATTCTGCAACTTATCATTGTTTAACACAGAAGATAGCGCATTTTTTTATGACGAGTTTAATCTAGTGTGCAGAAGTCTCATCAGAGCAGAAAAGGCTTGGCACTAATGAAAAAGGTTGATGACAGTGAAAGTGTTTCCAAGGCTAAGGGAGAAACGCTAGGAAAGTATAATTTTATGAAGTGGTGTCTATATTTGGAGCATTTTGGTGTTTCATTCCCTGTGACAAGTAGAATGTGGTTATGTGCTGGGCTAGTTCTGTGGGAGAAAAGGCAAAGGAAGAGTACCCGTTCCAGGGACCAGGTTGATTTTCAAGTATGTGTTACTAGTTGGATGAATATTACAGAAATATAAACCTGGATGTTGACTGTCCCATGTCCACCTCGTCAGCGAATCATGGTACTTGGCCTCCCAGATCCTTTTTCATTCTTACATAATACCTATCATGTCTTAAGCAACTGTATGACCATATTTTTTCTTTCCAATAGTGTTTTCTTAGGCTTCTAAAACTTTTTGGCACTACATCAACTTGTTCTAAAGCACAGGCAAAAATCTGGACTGTTTCTTGTGTCAGGACTATCCACTAAGACTGGAACCTGCAGTTTACATGAGGCCTAGTCACAGTCATGGCACTTGGTACTCATGGCCTGTGTATTTGCTTCCTCTTTCCAAAATCTCAGCTGTTTCTTTCTTACTACACTTAACCATAGGTAAGAGTTTTGTTATAGGTCTCTTCAAGGCCTTTGATAAAGAAGTGAACAGTTTGCAAATAAATATATATTAGCAAAGTTGTGATTTTAGTTCTTGTATCAAATTTTATTGAACTTATAAAAAAAGTATTTTTTCATTCAGCTTCTAGGTTTGGGGGAAGTAAGGCAAGGATCACTAGATAGGATCACTTTCTTTGTAAATCTGAGATTTAGGACTGTTTCTCATTGTAGTGCTAGGGAACTATTAGAATAGAGGGAAAAAGATGTCTTCTCTATTTAGCTAAACACATAATAAAATATCGGATACTAGAGTTTTTATATAGTAAAACCTTGTCAAAGAGAGAGGAGCTGTATAGTATGGTCATTAAGCATGCAGGCCACTGAGTCAGGCCAAGCTGAATCTGAGCCTGCCCCCTTGTTATTGGCCATGTAGCCTTGGGCAAAGAATGTCGCCTCTCTGATCCTCAGTTTTCTCATCTCTAAGGGACATATTGGGAAGAGAAATCTTCATAAAGGTTATCAGAAACTACAAATTATATAAAGCATGTCAAATAATCAGGAGTAAAGGCCTAACAAATGACAGCTGTTAATATTATTCTTAATAAAAATTATAGTAAGTCGATTTTTGACTATGAATTTCTATTTGCAGCAATCCCTATGGAAGTACTGCTACATGAGTCTAATTACCCTGTTTATAATTCATTCAGCAAGCATTTACTAAGCTCCAGCTACATACCACACTTTGTATTAGGGACATGGATACAAAAGTGAGTTCAACAGCCCATCCCTTATGGAACTGGGTTAAAGTATAAAAATGGGTAAGGTGGGGCAGATTAGCAGTTTTATTGAAAAATGGGAAATTTTAGTGATAGATGTCCTGCTTTATTTTAATTTTAGGG